TTTTCATTAGCCACACATCATGTTGTTACGTGAAGCAATTGTGCGTGGCAAGTTTATATACAGCTTCCTCCAACTTGTGAGCTAGAGATTGACATTGCCTTCCTTTTTTCCTATCACAGTGGCACTTTATCTACATTTCACATAAAGGAGATGAAGGAGAAAATTACCACAACAAGGTGTTTGCAAGAAAAATTGTCTATAATTCACCATTCATCAAATGAAAGTTATGGCCCAATATAAAAATTACTTATAAATGGCATGATTTTCTACTAAAAAATAGCAAATCAGTCAGTAAATGGACAAGATCTGCTATATCTTTTTGAGTGGAACAGTATATATAACAGCTATAATTATTAAAGATCCACATGTTTATCTTTGTTTCTTAAGGGATACCTGCAGTACGTTGCAAACCAGCAGGATGTAGAATCATCATAGGATCATAGAATGGCTTAGGTTGGAAGGGACCTTAAAGCCCACCTAAATCCATCCCCTGCTGTGTGCTGGCTGCCTCCCACCAGCTCAGGCTGTGCAGGGCCCCATCTCAACTGGCTCAAGCACATCCAGGGATGGGGCACCCACAGCCCTGGGCAGCAGTTCACACCAACATCTGAGTAAAGAATTTCTAACATTTAACCTAAATCTCTCCTCTTATTGTTTCAAACCATTTCCCCATATCCTTCTACTATCAGACCAGGTAAATAGTCAGTCTTCCTCCTGATTATAAACTCCTTTTATGTACTGAAGGCTGCAGTGAGGTCTCCTGGAGACTTCTCCATGCTGAACAAGACCTACTCCTTCAACCTTTCTCCATGGGAGAGGTGCTCCAGACCTAGGATCATCTTTATGGCCCTCCTTTGGACCTGCTCCAGCAGCCCCACATCCTTCTCGTGTTAGGGACCCCAGACCTGGACACAGTACTTCAGGTGAGGCCCCAAAAAGTGAGAGCAAAGGAGGACAATCACCTCCTTCACCCTGCTGATATGGAGGCACTACTGTTAGAGCAACCTGCATACAAAGGCACTGATACCCATTTTCAGATTTTATTTAGTAAAGAGGCAAAAAGATGCCCAAATGATTTCCTCTGGGAGTTCTTTCCCCATAATGATTCTGTTGCTATTGACTCTTTCAGATTATTCCACTAGTTCTCTGTTTGCTTCTTGTTGTAATATTTGTGCTATGATAGCAGGAGCTCTTGGCCATACCTTGACACCTTGTTGTTTGTGAATCTGTACATTTATTTTTGTGAAATGAAGTGTAAGTCTAGAGCTGGCAAAATGTTGAGAAAAAAATTGATTGGTCAGAAAAAAGTTATTCTTATCCACTGATGAAAAGGAGCAAGATTAATATATGTAGGTTGCTCCAAAAATAATGCCTCCTATTTATTTTCTTTCCAGCAAGTCATCCTCTCACCTGTACTGATGCATGTGGTTCTTCCTTCCCACATGTAGGACTGTGCAATTGCTTTTGCTGAATGTCAAAAAGCTCCTCTCTGCCCTCCAAAGCATGTCCAAATCTCTCCAAATGGCAACACAGCCTTCTGATGTGTCAGCCACTCTGCTGAGCTGTGTATCACCAGTAAACTTGCTGAGGGTGCATTCTATCCCTTCATTCAGGTCATTGATGAAGATGTTGAACAGACTGGATCTAGTACTAGTCCCTGGGGAACACCATTTCCTGGCAGGTTGAATCCATCACAGAGGACCTCCTCGCTCATCTGACAGCATTTTGCCAGAGCAAACAACATAGTGAGAATAAAAATAGTGAATGTTTTAGTCAAGCATTCCTCATTCCTGGCATCTTTGACCAGATTTTCACACCCAAGGTATTCCTTTTGGGAATGACACCCACTTGTCAACACTTTCTCCTTAGTGATTTCACTCCTAGTGGCTCCATTGTCATAGAGGTCTTCTCCATAGACACTTAGGTTCTGCTTTCTAAATTTGTTTCCATCAGTTTGAATCAGTGCTTTTAAAAAAAATCTTCAATCAGATTCTCCAAACTGTTATTCTAGAGCCATCTCTGGGTGTTTTTTTAGGAGCAGCATGACATTTATTATCTTTTAAATAGTAAATTCCAGACTTTTGCACTTGCATTACTCATTTTGCTCCCACTTAAAAAAAAACCTAACTAACAAACTCCCACTGCAAAAAACCTATTTTGTTCTTCTCTCTGCAAGGAGACTGCAGTAGTAGCAATACATCCAAACAACTAAGTGTTGTTTGGACTGGACAACTGATTACAAATTAAGTGTTACTATTTAGCACTGCGAAAATTAGTCTTTTATTCCAAAAATCTTTAAGCCTGGAGGCTGGCAGAGGTGTGTGAAGGAATAAATACCTTATGCCTGGTATTGGTAATCACCTTACTCAGCAGCTGACTCATCTGAGCCAAACATATGAATAGAAGGGCCTGATTCTGCTGGGCCTGATTCTGCTCGTCCTTGGATGTCTATGAGTCAAAAGCAAGTCCACTCCAGCTCTGTAAGTGGATACTTGCATGATTTAAAAAAACTCTCTAGCGTGGAGATGCCAGAGTCTTCAGGCTAAAAGAAAGTGCCATTTATCCTGTCACATGCTGAGGATCTAGCCCTTGATTAACACACCAGAAGGGAACAAAAACTTTCCTTCCCCCTAGACATAATTTGGGCATTTCCTCTCACACTGCAGCATAGGGAAGATGTTTCTTTTTTGACAGTAAGAAAGCCAAATAGTGTCTCTGTAGGCTGGTGATGAAGACTTGACAAAAATCAGTATCATAGAGAAATAAAAGATAGAAGAGTAACTTTACAGAAAAGGTCTCAAAAATTTTTTTTGTGTGTGTGTGATATTGGGGAAGGCTTGTCCTGCTTTCATTACTGAGGAATGAATGAATGGAGAAGTCCAGCTTTCCCCTGCAGCATCCACTGGGGTGGGAATGGAGGACTCCAGGGTGAGGGCTTCCTGCCTGGTTTTGTAGGAAATCCCTGCTGGAGTGAGGAAAGCAAATCCTTTCCCCCTGCCATAGGCATGAGGCAGAGCTGAATCTGAGACCTATTCCACAGCATAGCATCCTGGAGATACAGTGCTGGCAATGAGGTGCTAGGAGGCCACTCTGATGACCTCCCTGGTAGTGAAAAATAAAAGCAGGTGGGCTTCGTGCAGCTCACCGACTGGTCATGTTATAAAACATGGTCAGGTATAAAATCTCTGTAGGAGCTTCCGTGTCTGATGTTTTCCTTTTTTACTATGTATTAGTTCCTGTGTTCTCTGCTGGTAGCTTAATTGCATCCCACGCACTGTTGTCTTGCTCATTATTTTGTTCTGTGCCCATTTAAACAATGAGGCAAGAATTATGAGGTGCTTCCAGGTGAGAGTATGTATATAGGGCTGGGAGTGGGACACTCACTTAAATGGCAAATGTATATGCCAATAAAGATAATTTTGCAGCATCAACTGTTTAGCTCTTGTCTATCCTCTAAAAGAAGCAGATGCACAACACAGCACTATTTATTTTAATCCCACATATACACTCTGTTCTTTCATTCTTTTTACAGAGCAGCTGGTTCTTCATACAAGCCATTCTACTCCCATATATATATCTTTAATACAGAACAGGAATGTAAGTTTAATTTATACTAACTTGACATCCAGGGTTATTGTATCTGAGTAAGGCACTGGCACAGCTGCCTGGGGAGGTGATGGAGTCACCATCCCTGGAGGTGTTCAAGAACTGTGGAGATGTGGCACTGAGGGATGTGGTCAGTGGGCACAGTGGGATGGCTTGGAATTGGGGTTGGGGATCTTAGAGGTCTTTTCCAATCTTCATGATTCTATGATTCTATGATTCTAAGAGTGGTGCTAAAAGGGATTGAAGAAATCACATTTTTAAAAAATACATTTCTTTTCTACAGAACCCCAGTGACAGCGCTGACATTCTTGAAAGAACAAATAATTTTCTTTTCTTTTGTTGAGTCTGTTACTCCCTTTGCAATTCACTCTCCTGTTGTCAGACCAGTCTGTTCAAAATTCTAATGGTTCCTCCTTTCATTTTGAAGATGCTTCATTCTCCCCTCTTTGAATCTTTCCTTACAGGAGTTAAATTTCTTACTTTGATGCTGCTGAACAAATGGCTGAAGTCCAGCCTGTTTCTCATAGTTATTCTCTTCATTTTCCCTCTGCAAGCTGTCTCTCCTTAAATAATGTCTCTCTCTTTGTTCCAAGTGCCTCCTTAGGACAAATTTATCTCTGAAGCTTTCAGCAGCAACAAAGTATTTGACTGCAGTGGGATTACTGACCTGCTCAAAGCAACAGGAATGCCTTACTAGGAGGTAGCAGCTCTTCATCCATTGTGTTTTTTGTTCCTGAACTGCAGTGTACAGCTGCCCTGTAAGCACCTCTAAGACCCTTATTTTCTGCTTCTACCACAAAGTGAGCATAGTGGAAACCCACTGAACAGCAATCATTGCCCTGTGGATGTCACAACACTAGTTGTGACTCCAGAAATCAATGCAATGTTATAAAAAGAGAATGACTAGACTTAGATGGCAATAAAGGGAAAGAGCAGGTTTATTCTGCAACCATTCAAACTCGAGCTTTTTATGTGTGTTTCTGAATTGCAACAGAAACATTCAAACACTCAGAAGGAGTGATAAAAGCAGGGCTGCTGGCAGGTTACTGCTCACAGCCACTTCTATGTGGTGCCCTGGGCAAAGTCTTTGCTAAAGAAAGGATTTTACCTTAACCCACTGTGCTAAAAGTTGATCATATGGAGTGGTAGTGCAATATTTCTGATAGCTTATTTTTCTCAGTCCATTTCAGTTTGCAGCTGTGGCATTTGCCACATATCTTTCACATATACAGGAGAGAAATAAAAATGAGAGGGAAACATTTTTCTTGAATTAGAAGTAAAATAGTATGTTGGTTTTGCACTTTTTTTCAGGTACTTCACCTATAAAAGAAAGCGTTGCAAAATAAATGCTTCTAGCCCAGCTGTGTTAATTACAATCTCACTTTCTCTTTCAGCCCTCTACCAGGCACAAAGCAAGGACTGCTCAGCCAGGACCTTGCCTTCCACTGCACGAAGCATTTGAGAACCTTAAGAAAAAGAAGATGATGGAAATCGATTAATTCTGAATATGGCTAACTGGTTGCAAAAGCTTGTTATGTTCAAAGGCTTGCAATTGGGCATTTATTACTTCCCAGATTATCTGCATTCCTAGGGCACCAAAACCCTTCAAAAACATGCTTACAGAAATCTGAAGCTGCTGAAATGCAGTTAGGTACAGATACACAAGCCTTAAATAAACCAGTTTTGTGGCCCAGTACACTTGGCTGTGCTGTGCTCAGTCCCAGCTAACCCATCTTGCTCAGAAATAAAGCTGAAGCTCATGAGGAAATTTAGACTCAACAGATACTAAGAAATCTGGATGGCCTTTCATCAGGAAAGCATCAGTCTTGATGGAGATGTTTCAGCCAAGTGTACTACCGAAGATTTCCCTTCGATGTTTACTGGGATCATGGACAAAGAAAAATCTCAGTCCTACAGGGTTGATAATCTTATATGAATCCAGAGCCAGGCAAAGCTGTGTTTAAAGTGTAATTAACGTGCAACCTTGTGCAACCTTCTTTAAATTGTGCCAGGCGGATGACACTGCAGCTCAGAGGGAACTGGAGGAGCAACTGCCAGTGCCTCTGCCAGCAAAGCCAGGTGGAGATCCAGCCTCCAAAACAGATGATGCTCTATCTAGAAAGAAAGAAAACCTTGTGTAGCTGACTTCAGATGAATCCAACAGCCAGTAAGGCTACTACACATGGTGCTAGAGGTATGGATGACCAAAGAGTTAGATAGGGCCAAATGTATTGATAGGACAAGGGGAAACAGGTTCAAATTATTTACAATAAGGATGTTGAGGCACTGCCACAAGTTGCCCAGAGAGGTGGTGATGCTCTGTCCCTGCAGACACCCAAGGTTAGGCTGGAGGGGCTATGAGCATTGATGGAGCTTTGGGTGTCCCTGTTCATCTCAAGGAGTTGCACCAGATAGTTTTTAAGGGTCTTTTCCAACTCAAGCTATTCTACAATTCTGTGATTCTAAGATATTAACAAGAGTTTGTCTTTTGGGCTAACTGGGTAAAAATCATTGCTGTGCAAAGTAGCTTTTAAGTGGTACACAGGTCTACTGATGGTTTTCTTTGCACTCTGTATATTCTAGCAACAACATCTCACCCATCAGTCCTGCTGTCAAGAGGAACACAGCATACAGAACAGACTAACAGGTAATGCCCAATGGATTCAAGCTGCACTGCATTATCTGTAGCAATGGGCAGTAGCACCTAATGCGGCTTGCTTCTGTCACTATGGAATAAATTCTTTGAGCTTTCTTCTAAAATGATGCAGCTGTTTGGACAAATCCCGCTGACCATACACAAAGCACAAAGACTTAATTTGTCTTACCTTCTTTCAGTTTCCTTTAAATGACGGTAAACAACAAAATAAGAAAGAAAGCCCAATAGAGGCAACACAGCACGAACCCACAGAGAGCAAACTGCCTCACTTAAAAGGTAAACAAAATCACTGCATCCATAGCAGTGTAGGAACCTGCCACTTCATCCTCTCCTTTCAGGCATTGTCTGACTCTTGAATGGACAATAATATATCAAAATTGCCGTGTTTAACCACAATGCAGAGTCGTAAGACGTACAAGACTGCAGAGTGACAGCCATCTGAGACCAGGTTCCCATTCTTTTTGATCCTCACATGCTTGTACATATACAAATCACAAAACATCCCCAAACTTCTATGAAATATAAAGCTTTTGTTCAGAAATCTCAAAGCCTTCAAATCCACCATTTGTTCTGTCTAAGTAGGCAAGTAAGTTCACAGGGTTGAAGGCTAGCAAATATCCTGAAGAGTGCTTCTCTCCCAACTTCCATTTCCACTTTACCACTGTCATCTTTTAGCTGGTGGCATTTTCAGAGCACAGCCATCAGATCTGGACTCTGGCTATGTGACAGATAACAGCAGGATCTATCCTCTCGAGAGGTTTAACACAGTGGAAATTGAAAAGGCTTATGTGGACAAGCTTGACAAAAATGCTGTTTTCTACCTGAATTACCTGTCACTCAGTGAGGATGCAGTGAGTGCTGCCTGGATGCTGCTATTATACCATGCTCTGAGTGAAGCTGGTTGCTCTGGGATCTCAGCTTCTTTCACATAGGAAAGGATAGTGTGACTGACATTTCTCTTGCACGGTTCATATAGGATACATAAGGAAAGAGGATAAAAAGGTCAATGGAAAAGTGGTAGTCTGGTAACAAAGGGATCCTGAAATAAGGTCTGATGAATTGCTTTAGTTAAGAGCTGCCTATGTGAACATCTCAACCAAAAAAACTAAGCTAGAAGTTCACCATCACATTTTAGGTATGTCCAGCATTGAAGCTGGGGAAAAAAAACTTTACACTCTGGAAATGAAGAATCATCCACCTTTACAGAAGAAGTCTAAGTTGTTCAAATTCCATAGCTTCTCACTGGAAAACTTGATCAGGAGATCAAAGACAATTTTTGAAGCCATTAAACCCACTGACAGAGTATAATTACCATCAAAGCTCTAGTTTCTATGCCTACGTCAACACTTGTATGTCTACTCTGAACGCCTCCTGAAAATCACTGCAGACTTTCATGCACATCAAAGCCCACCACAGATACAAAACTTGGTGATCTTTGGCAGAATGGAGGAAAAACTGACATCTGCAGTGGCAGACACAGTTTGGCAAGAGCTCCAAAACCATGATCAGCACCCTGAAAAGATGGAAAATCTCTGGAGCTAGCCAATGCTTTTAATCATTCCTCTGAGGAAATACTCGCTTTGCTCTCCTTTGCTCAATTTCACAGGGGTTTTTGTTAGTGCTGACCTTGAGATTTCTTTTACTTCTTTAAGCTGCTCCTGACAGCAGTTTAAATCTCATTTGTTGTCAGACCTTTCTGGCCTTGAGTTAATTCACGTCAAAATGTTAAAAAACAAATAAATTTCATCTAGACATATACTGGTGACACATGAAGATACAATATCATGCATAAAACACTAATTATGTTTTGTAGGATCCTACCATTATTTTTAAAATTATACAAATTACATTATATTAAAATTATATAATTATAAGATTGTGTCTAGAAGGGGAGTAAAATTTCCACTGTCAAAATTATCTCAGTGTCAGTAGAAGCAGCAGCCAAGCCCATGGTACATGTCTCCAAGGAACAAGAACTAAATCATCTCTCAATATAGATCTTACTTTTTGACTGGTAGCTCATTTCTAGTGCAACAAAGGACAAGCAAAGGCAATGCAGGATTTTTCATCAATAACAAAAGATGACTAAAACCCAAGTTCAGCCACTTTGTGTTCTTCAGTTTGTTAGGAATTTGTACTTTTCTGGACAGGTAATATCTAGAAGATATTATATATTTTATAAACAAAAATCCTGGATGCAAACAAGCCTTGGAGCTTGCAGTGTGACTCCTGACTCTTGCAATGTGATTCTCCCTTCTCTTTCATGTATTGTTACCTCTATTGAGTCTACGCACTTACAACTTCTGTACAAACAAGATTTCAGTATGAAGAGCAGATTTCATACATAGTATTGGTACTGAGAAACATAATATTATTTGAGCAGCTTGAAATAAAAAGACTTCTCAAAATGTACATTTGATTCAAACTAAAACTCTTTCTAAAAACTCTTTCTTCAAAGGATTTTTTTTCTTTTTTTTATTGAAATCATAGGTTTTAATAGAAACTCACAATAGAAACTAGGTGTTGAAATGTCATTTTGATATCTGTTGTGTCAGGAAATTTTGCAAACTCATATCAGAACTTCAAATTTTCTTTAAGGATTTATTTAATAGGATTTTTATTTTAAAAACTGTGCTATAATTTAAATTGCTACGTGTCAGATTATTAGCACACAAGGAATAGTGAAGCATAATGACATTTTATGCATTAATGTATGTGTGTGTATATTTCTGTTGTCATATAAGATTACAGCTACAGAAATACTATTCTAGAAATAATATTTCTAATACTATATATTATTATATATATGTTTTCATATTCAGAAATTCTATTTTTGTAGTTTTACTGTTAGGCTCTGCTTAGATAGACGGAGAAAGAGAAAAACTGTTTTCTGAAGACCCAGAAATCATTCTTCTCTTTCCTTTTGTGACACTAAGAGAAATTTATTTCTGTGACTTTAACTGTGACCTCTAACAGAAGAAAAAGGAAATGTGTGATTATTGCCACTTAACTCTGTGATGTTCCCCTATTATGCTCTTACTAAAGACAACCTACAATGCTCCTTGCTGTGGTACTGTGAAGCTTCGTCTTTCAACATGGTAGTGGCTGGAAGAAAGGGTTTGGAAAACAGAGCTTAATCTGCCCCTATTTAATTATAGTAATTGTTGTTTTCATAATTGGCTACCAACCTACCAACAGCTTGGACAGAAGTAAAAGGGCAGTTTCCTGCAAATGATTCCCATGAAATTTAATGTGCTTTGGTGTGGAGAGCATTGCTGAAAGCTGGCTTGCAGAAAAGGGTCATGTTGACACAACCCAGCTGATAAGACTGAAATAACGAGGCATAAACACGAGCCTGCTGACCTATCATCATCAAGGACAGCGTGCCCTTGCAGGATTGTGAGGAACCAACACGAAGCAATAACAGGATGCAGAACTGGGGGTGCTGACCACAGGAATGCTGCTGCGGTTGAATCGGCTACCCGTGCGCTGACCAATCAGGAGCTTGCCTTTTGCAATATGTATTAGCCTCATTATACGCTGTAATAAAGAACGGTGCCTTCTGATTAAAGGTGAGAAAGTTTGATCAAGCCCTTGGTCGTGTTTTTTCTCACGCCGTTTCCAACACTTTGGTCTGATAAGTTTTTTGCCCCAGCACAAACATCTTCTAAGGCCCAGTTGCATACAGCTGTGTATTCTGTAGTGGTGTGAGAATGGTACTGGGAACACAAGTAAAACAAAACATGAATTCCTTTTGTCATGGGTCCCAAGCAGGCTGTGCACCTCCTTGCACAAAGATTGGCTATGGCATAAACCAAACTCATTTCTTCTTTAGGTGTGAAGTCTGAAGCATCTGCACTGGGTGGCATTACACATACGATGTCCTCATTCCTCCTGGTTCATTACAGAGCACCCTCCTATCTCCCTGCTGCATTGGTGTTGGGTGCTTTTTAAGTAATGTTATAAAA